TAGAGCTAACGTCATATTAGCTCTGGAGTTAACGTCATATTAGCTCTGGAGCTAATGTCATATTAGCTCTAAAGCTAATGTCAGATTAGCTCTGGAGCTAACGTCATATTAGCTCTAGAGCTAACATCACATTAGCTCTGGAGCTAACGTCATATTAGCTCTGGAGCTAATGCCATATTAGCTCTGGAGCTAACGTCATATTAGCTCTGGAGCTAACGTCATATCAGCTCTAGAGCTAACGTCATATTAGCTCTGGAGTTAACGTCATATTAGCTCTGGAGCTAATGTCATATTAGCTCTAAAACCAATGTCAGATTAGTTCTGGAGCTAACGTCATATTAGCTCTAGAGCTAACGTCATATTAGCTCTGGAGCTAACGTCATATTAGCTCTGGAGCTAACGTCATATTAGCTCTGGAGCTAACGCCATATTAGCTCTGGAGCTAACGTCATATTAGCTCTGGAGCTAACGTCAGATTAGTTCTGGAGCTAACGTCATATTAGCTCTGGAGCTAACGTCATATTAGCTCTGGAGCTAAAGTCATATTAGCTCTGGAGCTAATGTCATATTAGCTCTGGAGCTAACGTCATATTAGCTCTGGAGCTACAGTTATAAACATTAAATCTGAAGATAAGGCCAAATTTGAATCATTTCAGCATTCTCCTTTTTATCAACACACTTCGGTTCGAAGGGCTGAACGTTAGATAACATCCAGAAGTAACCGTCAAACTGAATGGCACTTGCATCAAAGAAACCATTCTCCATAATTTACCCAGAATGCACTGCAAAGTAAATAAAATGGCAACATCCATGTCTCAATAATAAAATAAAAACTAAACAGCCTCAGTATTTTTGGTCTAGTTTTTTTTTTATAGCTAAAGTAATTATCAAATAAGGTTTGTTGTTCCAACTAGTTGGAGATCTTTTAAAGATATCTAAAAAAAGAAAATTGGATTAAAATGTCCTGATGCGTGATAAATAATCCAGGTAGATAATCTAACATGGTTGAGTCAGGTCCTCTGGACGGATTCTGACTCAACCTCGTTAAAGTTGGATTAAAGCTGCGCCGAGGTTGAATTCTGGTTTCCAACCTCAGATCTCATCGAGACCTTATCAGTTCTGATCTTCTGGTAGCCCCCTTCTGTTTCTGACACAGTTAAAAGTCAGAGTGGTACCATTCTGGCCACAGGATGATGATGGTACATCAGGTGTCTCCTTATCACGGTTCGGATCAGTTAAAGTGAAAGGCGCAGAGAAAAATTCCCTGCCGCGTGCGTTTTGTTACATGTTGACCTAAAAATGTGGGAATTCTCACACCGCCCATAACAAACATGAATGAACGTGTCAGAGAGGGGACTCGGATCCCATCCTGTCCCCGACCAGGTCTTCACAGCTCACGTTTTACTTATGACCCATCTGATAATGAAAGTTTCAGTCTGGAGTTATAAACAGGCCTTTTGGTTTCATGAAGTCGACAAACGTGTCATACGAGTGGAGCTTCTCGGTTTCAGCGCAGCCGCCTACACCACAACAACCACCTCCTTCGTCAAACCACAACTCTCTCTGAAAAATAACCTTTCATCTCATCTTCTGTAGGCCGGGGCAGAAGGGAGATCCCTGACGGCTCTGACAGACCTGAGAGCCCAGAGGGTCCAGAGCACCGGCATGTCTGTGACAGAGGAGCAGCAGAGGAGTTCAGGCACCGAGGCCTCCACAGCTCCCAGCAGGTACGTCCAGGGTCACTGTCTGGGATTATTCACCTGGATTTCATTTAATCCCACATCCGCCTGGGCTTCAGGCTGAAAACTCATCTTTAAAGATCATAATTAGATTAAATATTAGAAGTTATTAATTGTCAATTATTAACCTCAAATAAGTTTATTAGAAGGTGTTGACTGGAGATTATTAGTTTACTGGACATCATTAACTATGTAGACTGGAGGTTAATGATAACCAAAGTTATCATTTGGTTATAGGTAATTAACTAGTTGGTGGCCATATTTGGAGTTTATTAACTTTTTAGATTATATTAAATAGTCGAAGGTCGGCAGCTGGTTGGAGTTTAGTGACTGGTTAGAGGATATTAACTGGTTAGAAGTTGTTAGCTAGTTGGAAAATATTAACTAGTAGGAAGTTATCCACTGGTTGCAGGTTAGTAACTGGTAACTTGTTAGAGACTATAAACTAGTTGGATATTAGTAATTTGTTGCAGGTTAGTAACTGGTTGGAGGTTAGTCACTAGTTGCAGGTTAGTAACTAGTAACTGGTTAGAAGTTAGTAACCGGCTGGATGTTAGTAACTTATTGTATGTTAGGAATTGGTTGCAGGTTAGGAACTGGTAACTGGTAAGAGGTTAACTGGTTGAAGGTTAGTAACTAGTTACAGGTTAGAAACTGGTAACTGGTTAGAAGTTAGTAACTGGATGGAGGTTAGTAACTTATTACAGGTTAGGAACTGGTTGCAG